AAGGCGCCGCTGGAGAGGCAGGACAGCATGAGCTCCTCCAAGAGGGGCAGTGTGGTGGGGAGGAACCTCAACCGCTTCTCCTGCTTCGTGCGGTCCGGCGTCGAGGCCTTCATCCTGGGCGACGTGCCCCTCATGTCCAAGATCGCAGAGCTCTACTACATCGAGATGGGCTCCAAAGGCCCCCAGTGGAGGGCCAACCCGCACCCCTTCATCTGCTCTGTGGAGGACCCCACCAAGCAGACCAAGTTCAAGGGCATCAAGAGCTACATCTCCTACAAGCTGACCCCCAGCAACATCAACTCGCCCGTCTACCGGCGCTACAAGCACTTTGACTGGCTCTACAACCGCCTCCTGCACAAGTTCACGGTGATCTCGGTGCCCCACCTGCCCGAGAAGCAGGCCACCGGGCGCTTTGAGGAGGACTTCATCGAGAAGCGCAAGCGGCGGCTCATCCTGTGGATGGAGCACATGACGAGCCACCCCGTCCTCTCGCAGTACGAGGGCTTCCAGCACTTCCTCTGCTGCCGCGATGAGAAGCAGTGGAAGCTGGGCAAACGGCGGGCCGAGAAGGATGAGATGGTGGGCGCCAGCTTCCTGCTCACCCTCCAGATCCCCACGGAGCACCAGGACCTGCAGGACGTGGAGGACCGCGTGGACGCCTTCAAGGCGTTCAGCAAGAAGATGGATGACAGCGTCCTGCAGCTGACCAACGTGGCCTCGGAGCTGGTGCGCAAGCACGTCGGGGGCTTCCGCAAGGAGTTCCAGAAGTTGGGCAATGCCTTCCAAGCGATCAGCCACTCCTTCCACTTGGACCCGCCGTACAGCTCGGACGCCCTCAACAACGCCATCTCCCACACGGGCAAGACGTACGAGACCGTGGGGGAGATGTTTGCCGAGCAGCCCAAGAACGACCTGTTCCTCATGCTGGACACTCTGTCTTTGTACCAGGGGCTCCTCTCCAACTTCCCAGACATCATCCACCTCCAGAAAGGTAAGAAGGCTGCGCTCCGGGGAGCGTGTCCTTCTCCCCGGGGGGCATGGGGACAGCCTGGCCTCTCATGGCACAGTGTGTCCTGGAGACATGGGACAGAGCCTGGTCCCTCGCAAGGGTCTGAGGGCAGCATGTGGCGTGCGGATGTCCCTCCTTGCTTCCCCTTGGATGCCGTTGAGCCACCTGGGGACAGCAGGCCCACGTCACTCCGGGACACATCCCTGCCCACTGGGAAGCCAGGCAGTGGGACGAGCACCCGAGGGGCCGGGTGCTGGCTGCGCGTGGGAAGGCCAGGGAGGAGCGTGATGCCCGCACAGAGGTTCCTGCTCCCGTGTTTCTCCGGGCTGGGCCGTGGGCGCTTCCATGGTGTTTTCCAGGTGTGCCACCTGTGGCGGGGCCGAAGTCCATACGCTCAGCCCAGCCGGGAGCCGCCTCGTCCCAGCTCCGTGACACGGCCGGGAGCGGGATCGGCCGCGTCCTCGCCCTCCCCCTGCGCCCTCTTGGCCGCGGGGGACGAGGGGCCGGACCCGGGCCGGAAGCGGGGCCGCGTGGGCAGAGCGGAAGGCAGGATTTGGCCTCCAACCTCGGCTTCCTCGGGGCTCCTCCTCCTCTCCGCTGCGGAGCTGCTCCCGGCCGGAGCAGGCGGAGGGGCAAAGCCCGGCGGCTCCTGCTCCCGTTTCGACCCGTCTCCAAGCACGCAGCCAGGGGGAGGAATGCGGGCCGAGAGCCAGGCCAGATTCTTTCAAAACCAAGCCATAAAAATCAGCGGGAAGAGGGGAAAACTGATGTGGGAGCATCGTCCCATCGCAGAGGGGAGGCTGTTTCCCAGCCGGCTCTGGCCAGGCTCCAAGGCAAACCTGTTGCCAGTCTCCTGCGGTGTCCTGGTGTCCTCAGCGGGAGCTGGGCCTGCTCACGGTGTGGATCCTGAGCGCCTCGTTACCTTCCCAGTGATGGGGCAGGAGTTGGGAAGGAGGTCGGCGGAGGCTCGCGATCCGGGAGGCCAAAGCTGCCGGCTTTCCCCCAAATAACCCCGCGCTGCGACGCAGCTCTCGTGGTTCGCTGGCGCTCAGCTCCAGCTGTGCTATATTTGTGGCTGGCAAAAACGGAGATTCCTGACGTTTTTTGGTCCCGAACAGGAGCCTCTGTTTTGCACGAGCTGCATCTCCCCTTTCCCTGACCCTGCTTCTCCATAGGCGCTCCCGGGAGGCAGCAGCGAGGGGCTTTGGGGACACTGCTCCTCATGGGGCCGTCCCCAAGGTGCCATGGGGACACTGTTACCTGTGGGACTGTCCCCACGCGAGGCAGGGCGATCCCAAGACTCGTCCCTGCCTTGAGGACTTTGGTCTCAGGGATGGGGAATTTACAGGCAGAGAGAGGCGGACGTTCCCGGCTCGGCTGCTGCTGGGGACACAGGGCTCTGTCCCACACCCACGGCCAACCCCGGAGGCCCAAGAAAGGGCCAGGATGGTGTCACCTGAGCTGCTCCGCAGCTGGGGGAGGGACAGGCTTTTCCAGGTGCCTGGGCATCCGGGTGGCCGCGTGCAGCTCCGCCGGAGCTCTGGGCAAAGCCCGGAGTCGCCCCTGCACCGGGAAGCTGCGGAGCTAACGGAGTCTCACGCTCTCCCTGTGCCTCCCTCGGCAGGCGCCTTCGCCAAGGTGAAGGAGAGCCAGCGGATGAGCGACGAGGGCCGCATGGACCAGGACGAGGCAGACGGCATCCGCAAGCGCTGCCGCGTCGTGGGCTTCGCCCTGCAGGCCGAGATGAACCACTTCCACGAGCGGCGCGTCACCGACTTCAAGAGGATGATGCAGTCCTACCTGAAGCAGCAGATCATCTTCTACCAGCGCGTGAGCCAGCAGCTGGAGAAGACCTTGCGCATGTACGACAACCTCTAACCGGGCCCGCCGCGCCCGCGCGCTGCCCCTCGGCCATCGCGCACTTTCCTACCCGGAGCCTTGCACGCCACCTCTGTGATGGACTGAGAACGAACGGCAACTCGTGACGCTAGTGACCAAATAACCTTTGGGCTTCACCCGGCGGGCGGCCGAGCCGCAGGGAAGGGATCGCGCGCGTGTCTCCCGCGAGCCGTGCGGTCTCTTTTCCTGGGAATGGCCGTCCCAGCCTGTGGCCGGGGATGCGGGAATTTTCCACGTGAGAAGGGACATTGGGATAACAGTGCTGGTAGCTCTGTCTGTGATTCGCAGCTTTCTGGGCACCCGTCCTCCCGGAGCAGAGAGGCGGGTACGTCCCAGCCCTGTGGGACCAGGAATCGAAGCGGTCGACGTTTTGCACACTACAAGCTTTTCTGATGGATAAAAGAAAAGATCTTTATTTAGAAGAGGTATTTTTTTTGCCCACAAAATATTTTCGATACTTTCCATTTTTCGCGAATGTTTCTGCAGCCTTTTTACCAATGAGTTTTTAATAGACACGCAGAGGCAAATGGAAATCTCTTTCTCAAGCACGCCTGTTGACTGGAAAAAAAAGGAGAAAAAAAGCCAAAAAAAAAAAGCCCCACAGCATTTTCAATAAAATCATCGGTAAAAAAAAAACAACATCCCAGAAATGACTGTGGAAAATGAAGCTACTCCAGGTTCCCTGAGAAGGGACCACGGTGGGGGGAGCAGGGGATGCCTGTCTGAGCATCCCGCTGGGATTTGGGCGGCTCTTAGGGAAGGGAAGGCATGCCGTGGGCGTGGGGAGGCTGCGTCCCGGCAAGGCTCCCGGGAGCTGCCGTTCCTCACCCCGCGGCGCCGGCCACGGGCACGGGAAGCTCCCACAGCCCGGCAGGGCCGGCCGTGCCCGCGCCGCCTTCCCCGGGGCCCTGCCTCCAGGCGCCTTCTTTTCCAAGGGAAATGGCTGGAATAAACAAGAGGGAGGAAAGCCGGGGCCTGCTTGGCCGTGTGCCAGGGATAAAATTAGCCTGAGCGCAGAGGCCGGCCAGGCCTGGCCCGTTTTTGGGGGGGGACAAGGGGACCTGCAGCTTGTCCCCAGCCGCGAGGACTCCAGGGTG